CATCAGCGCTGATCTGGGGGTCCCGGCTCATACAACCCCCAGTTGAGGACCAGTGTTACCCCATGGCACAAGGAGAAAGCAGGACCCCGCCTTCCCGGGGTGCTCAGAGCACCCAGTGATGCTCAAACAGCAACAAGAGGAGTCAAGAAGTAGGTTTGAGGGTGAAGTTTATTTGAACAGTGGGTGGGTTCAAGGGGTACAGATGTTCTCGGAAATACAAGGGTAGAGGGGGCTGCTGATGGGAGTTGAAATCCTTGTCCACCTTAAAGATAAGCTGGGGGCCCTAGAGTTGCTGGACCCCCTGCTACGGCATGGTGGGGAGATAGGGAGATGAAGAGGGGTAGAGAAGACCCATGTAGAGTGAAGCAACACAGATAGCACAGGGAGGTGTTGAGTTTGCTTCTCCAGCAAAGCCTTGCTTCATCCACAGGGGGCCAAGCCCACCCCAGAAGCATGGAAAGGGCAGATGTTCCCTTTCCTCATAATACAGGAATGGGGATTGTCTCCAGGGGGAAAAACACCACGCAAAAGCAAATCACCATTCCCCACAGCACCAAAAAGGGGAGATAAAGGAAAGGGAATGAAACAAGGAGAGAAAGAGGGGGAAATGCTAAACATCAAAACAAAAAACAATCCAAAGTAACCAACTATGAAATAAAACCACAATTGTACATCAAAGCTGTCAAACCGAGCGGGTAAGGATGCTCCTGGAGAGCAGCGGGTGGTTTGCAGAGCAGGATTGAGGAGGGGGACATGGAGAACAGGAATCACCTTCTTATTTTACATAGATTGGTGGCGTTGGAGGTCAGGGTTGCCCCAAAGCTGAACAAGGTTTGTCCAGCTCAGCCCAGGCTGGTTCTCTCAGGGTTTATATTGGCTCAGGAAGGGGGCTCATAGTGACAGAGGGGAAAAGCGCTGCTGCACGATGCCCCAGCACTGGGACATGAAGGTCTGAAACCCATGTGCCCTGAAGCAGCGTCCCCATGGAGCAGCTTGCAGGAAGAGATGGTTCCAAGCAGCCCTGATTCCAGGCAGAGCAGCCCCACTGCTGCTTCAAACACCTTTGGGAGTGGGGAGCAATGACGTTAAGGGAACCTGATTCATCTCTTAGGGGGGACCCTGAATGCTGGAAATGCACCCTCAAATCCAGACCTCCAGGGCAGGAATTTCAGGGAAAAAAAGGTTAAATTCAGTTAAAAAATAGATGCATTTCTTTGCTATAAAAAGAAGGAAAAAAAAACCCTTAGGCCAGGGTGGTTTTTAATGCCTCCTTCCCACCACCCCAAATTTAGCCAGAAAAATGCTAGCCCTTTCACCAAATCTGCTGGCCACAGAGACAGTCACACATTCATCATCGATTTAAAAATATATAATATTATATATATTGCACACACACAAATATATATTAGAAAAGAGAGAAAAAAAAATCCCTCTGAAAACTTAATCTATTAAAAAAAGACCCAAACAAAATCCACAGCGGGTGAGTTTATCCCATGATCCATGTACAGTAGAAGCCAGAAATCCCTTTTGCTCCCGTAGCTTCTCGCAGAGTGTGCTCAGGCTGGGAACGTGGGGAAACACATCAGGTTTTCACAGTGGATTTGTTAGTGGAGAAGGAACTGCTCCTCCCTTCTCCCACGCAGAAGGGCTTTAATTTATAGCAAGTTAGATTAAAACTAGGAAACATGTTACAAAGTCCATTATATATAGACATAAAATGTACAACTGGTGGCAGCCCCCATGTGAGTCACTGGGGTTCGGTCTTGGCTGACACCTCGGCGGGCAGCTGGAGGGTTCAAAGGCAGTTTGGGACATGAAGGGTGCAAGTAGAGCCTCCAAAACAAGCTGGTGTCACAGTGCGAGGTCTTACATGAGCTCCAGGTTGGACAGGAGATGGAGCAAGGTCTTCTCCAGGAGCCAGGGAAGGCAGAAGGTGTTAGATGCCTGCAGTGGGGATGCATCCTCCCAGCCGAGGGCTGGAGGGAAGAGAGGCAGCACCCAGGGACCTGCTTGTCTCCATCTCCTTGTGCCTGTGCAGTGAAGGGAGTGCTTTGTGCTGGGTGAAGTCCTGTGGGGAGAGCTTGCAGCGAGGTGGGCTCAAGGTAAGATGCATTATGGTTTTTCACCCCCACCAGGGAGCAGGGTATTGACTGAGGGAGAGGGTTGTCTGGTCTGGTGTTTTCTTGCAGGGTCATGAAGACATCAAGCCAAGCATTACAACAGCCCCTGGTGTGATCAGCGGCGTGCCCAAGGAGCCCCACAGCTCCCTCTAAGCTGTGTAGGCTCATGGGGGCAGACTGCCAGGCACAAAGGGAAGGCAAACGCAAGACCAGACTGCAGGGAAGGGGCTTTGGGCAGGCAGGGAGAAGAGTGAGGCAAGCACAGCAGTGTTTATGCTCTGTGCCTTCTTCCCCAGGCAGAGAAACATAAAGAAACATAAACCCCCTGTGCTGGGAAGGGGAGATGCCCAGGAGGGATACGCTGGTGTCAGCAGGGAACTCCTGAGCCTTCGGTCTCCATGGCTTAGTTGGAAAGGTGTTGGCTTCAAAAGGCTCATCCTGGGGGATTTCGTTTACAGGGCAAAGAGAAAAGAGACTGCAAGGCCAGATGGGGCCAGAGATGCCCACGGGCTGGGGAAGTGCGATGTGTGCAAACCACCATTAACTGGAGTCCTCATTTGCTCTTCTACAGGGAAGCCAGGATGGAGGGGACTGCACAACGCCATGAGGTTGGAGTTAGGAGTCTTCCCCGAGGATCTCTGTCACGAAGGAGGCCATGTCAGTCTCTTTGGTGTCGTGCAAGGTAAAGAAAGGGTGTTCCTGCCAACAAGACCAAAGACAACATGAGTTGATGCCCAAGGACAAGTACCTCAGGGATGTCACACAGATGGAAGGTGCTGGGGGAAGAGGTGAGCACCAACCTCCTCCCCAGGCTCCCATGGACACCATCCTTTAGCTTAAAGATTAACCAAAGCTTTCAGGTTTGGCATTTCTAGGTTCAGCCCCAGCAGGACACCCCACCTTGGCAGCTGTACTGCCATCATTTGAGGTCTTAACTCACCAAGAACAGATAGGGTAGAGGGAGAGAACACCTCGAAACCCTGCCCTTGCCCATGAAATCAACACACCCATCCCACCCCATGCCTGAAAAATGACCCACACCTCCTGTGGTCCCATTTCTCCAGGACCTGCTGGACCATTCACTTCATTTTTGAAATACATGGGGATAAAGACCAGTAGAAATGGCTCCACACTTACCATAAGTTCTAAATAGTTCATTCGCTCAGCAGGGTTCTTCCTTAAGCTGAAAGAAAAAGAATGGGAGAGAAAGGCTGTAGGAGCTTTCTTTTGGCTGGATGTGGTCTGTCACAGGGGAGATCCCCTTCCCAACCAACACTACATTCTTCTCATGGGCAGCACCCGTTCCTCTCCCTCCTTGGCCAAGCAGGTTTGAACCACCAGCAAGCAGCCAAGCAGGTAGCTGGGGAAGGACAACTCACAGTGTTTTGCCACGAAAAGCACAAGCCAAGCAGCTCGCTGCAGTCTGCCCTGCACACACCAGAACAAATGGGGAGGGGAGGGGAGGAGAGGAGGTGGGTTCCCACCACCCATAGGGTGAGCCTTGGTGGGCTCACCTCTGCCTGGCAGAGCTCACAGGGAGCAGTGGAACATCCCGAGGGGAGCAGCTACCCACAAAACCACAAACCAGCTTCACCCAGATGCTGTCAGGGCTTCGTTCTCATTTCGTTGCTGCTTTGCCAGAAACCACCACCACTTCAGCAGCAGCAAAAGGGGAAGAGAAACCTCTGCACCTTCCAACAGGCCTGGGTGAGTCAGGCGAGAACAAAACCAGTTTGGGCAGCGCTTCCTGCCATGGCCAAGCATCAGCCTCAGCAGGGTAAGGTGAAGAGAAACATGCTCTGAAAGGACAAACCCAGCCCCACGCTTTGCTCCAACCCCTCGTGGATCAGGGCTCCTCTTCAGCCAGGCTGGGAGAAGCCACCAGTCCCTGCCAGAGACTCACCACTGCGCCGTGAAGTCCACAAACTCCTTGGAGAAGCGATCAGCAGGCAGCTGGGGTGAGGGCTCCTCCACCACTTGCTTGAGCTGCTGGAAGGGAGTCCCCCAGGACTCGTACGGGAAGCGGAGAATGGCCAGCTCGATCTGAGGATGGAGACAGGCTGGTGTGAGACACTGGGACCACCTTGACCCCCACACACCCCTACCTCAGCCAGCCCAGGTTTAAAATGAAAACCCTCCTTCTTTACAGACCATTTTCAATGTGGGTCATACCACTCTTTTTTTTAAATGAAAAGACCTAGAGGCCAAAAATATTTCCTTTTGAGCCTGGCTCAGAATATTGATGCATTTACAGGAAGCCACCAAAGAGATGTAAAATGGGATTATTTAAAAAGATAACAGTAACAGCACACCATTTCTGCACTGGCTTCCAAAGGGCTTTGCTCACCATAAGGCAGCCTCTGGGCTTCAGGACAGTGTTGTATGAGCTAGACCTAAAAAACCCCACAAATCCAAGAAAAACCAAGTGCTACAATATCACTTATGAAGATCTTTGCCAAAATCACCTCCATTACTGGGGCCCTTCTACAAGTCACCTCTGCTCCATCACTCATTCAAGCAGGAAAAAGCCTGTCATGGCTCTTGGGCAGTGTCCTCATGCCAAGGGTCAGCTCCCATCTTGAAACAGGCAACAGAACCTCCAGCCCTGCCTGGCAGGGTGGGACAGGATGGGAGGAATAAGGAACCTAAAAGGATGTGGGGCAGAGCCAGATGTCCCCGCCTGGCTCAGGTCAGGGGAGCTCAGCTCCTGCTGCTTGGAAAACTGAATGAAGCCACCAGTGCAGAAAGGTCTGGATTAGCCCTAAAACCAGCTGGGCTGAAATCAATCAAACCCCTTCAGAAACAAAAAGGAAACAGGAAGCCAGCCCAGGAGGAAGGCATTAGAGGGAGTCAGGCAGGTTGGGGCTCCATTCAGCTGCAGGCTGGCTGGCTTTCAGCAAGGTCCCCTCTCCCATCCAGCTTTGGAAAGGTTCAGAGATTTCGTCATTCATGCAGTGTCCCATCCCACAGCTTCCTGCATCTCAGGAGGAAAGCCAGAGCTGATTACATTTCCAGTCAGCCAGCCCAGCTCTGCTCTGGCACAGGGACACCAAGGAAAGGGGCTGAGGTTTGGCACCATGGACATACTGGCTGGGGAGAAGGAAATACAGCACACACAAACACAGGGATGCAGCACCCAAAACAAGGGCCAAAGGGAGCAGGAAGAGTTCCTGAAAACAATCCACCCACAGAGAGAAAGTCTCCTGGAAAGAGAGACGTGTTCCCAGGCAGCATCCCCTTCAGCCAGCAGCCTGGATTTCCTTTGTCCTCTGACGCCAGAGGATTTCAGCTGCTTTCTGCAAGATCCATTTCTTGCAGGAGGTAGATAAACCATCCTGAGCAGCTGCAATTTTGGAACTGAAAGTATTTCCCCTTCCTGTTGGCTGCTCTGAGCTACCCCTGCAGGCAGGACTTGCTGCAAACCATGCACAGCACCCCTCGCTGCAGCAGGACAGCCTAACTCACCCCAATGCTCCTGCAAGGCCTTGCTAACACAGAGGGGAGTGCACCCAGGAAGGCTGTGACCCAGCTGCAGCAAACCCTGCTCCACTTAATACTCCTCCAGGCAGCACATGGGGAAGTGCAGAGCAGTTCAAAGCCAGACTCTTGGATGCCCAGCTAAGCCCGCTGTCATATAAGATATTGCCCCCTGAGAGTCTGCCATCCACAGCAACATAGTTCAGAGCTAACTGGAGCTATCTGGAGCTGGCATTGCACACAAGTAGACCTGTGAAACCAAGCTGAGAGGTACAAAGGAACCACATGGGAATAACATGCATGGCCTTTATGTACCCCCCAGGATCCAGCAGGAACATGCAATAAGAGAGGAGAAAAGAGAAGGGGCAGAAGATGGATTATCTCCTTGCAAGCTTGTCAGCCACAGCAGAGGTGGCAACACTGGCTGCACACCCCAGCTCACACCTCCACCCTGTGCCCTGGGTAGTTCATCTCATGCCCTGAGCTACCACACTCAACATTTAGTCCAATTTGGTGGGCAGCCACCCAGGGGTGAAGCCACTGGTCACAGCAGGGATAGAACCCATCCCAACCCCACGCCTGCAGGGTGCCAGTCCCAGCATGGCCCAGTTACCATTGTGATCCCCAGACTCCAGACATCCGACTTCACGTTGTAGCCCTTCTGGTTGAGCTCAGGGTTTATTCTTTCTGGCTGTAACAACAACATGGAAGATATTACAACTCTATCTTGTTACACCAGTGCAAACCCCACATACCAAATCTCTGGCTCTAAAACCCAGGTTGGGTTGATTCCCCTGGCTCATGTCCCCGTGGAGGGCAGGGTCTGAGGTTAAATCTAGTACTGACGAAAGCCAGGTCTTCCTCCACAAAGCTCACAAACTCTCTCCTCCAGCTCCTGAGACTTGTGCTATTCCTACAGCATGATCCCTGCCCCAGGAGCAGAAGCTACCCACACAAAAGGCAAAGGGAAATCCATAGAGATTTGCGGATGAAATGAAATGATCCTGCCAAGGAAAACCTCAGCATTTTCTAGCCAACAAGGAGCAGCCCTTCCAACCACCACAATCAGCACCAGAAAGTCTTTCACCCTTCTGCAAATGGAAGGAGTCTGCTGTGGGATTAACACAAACAGCAGGGTTTACAGGGAGAGTAATCCCATCCTTGGAGCATTCTGCTGAGTCAGGAAGCCCTGAGCCCTCTCAAGTGGTTTCTTCAGAACAGAGGTGAACCAAGGCTGATTCCTAAGCAGCAGCCCCTTCAAGTCAAGGCTGAAGGCAGCTAGAGGCTGCCAGCTCCAGTCCCACGTGAGCACACTTACAGCCATGTAAGGTTTGCAGCCAGCATCCATGGTCTTTGCAACAGAGTCCACCAAGTAGCCGCTGATCCCAAAGTCACACATTTTCACATGTCCCTCCTTGTTGATCAGCACGTTGGATGGTTTCACGTCTAAGAGAGAGAACACAAGAGGGCAGATTGAGCCTTTACAGAGTATCACAGAGCCCGAGACATGATGGACAACTCCCTGCCTACCTGGGAGGGGAGCAGGCAGGCCCTAACACAAGGGAAGGGAAGCAAAACCCCCCCAGTCTCCCATTGCAATAAGATTTGTTCATAGGCAAAGCCAGAACTATGCTCTCCGGGCAGAAGAAGCCTCCTTTCTAACAAGGCAGGTCAAAAGGTTGGAATAAAATGCCCAGCAACTTATGTGCCATACACAGCCTTAAAAGCCCAACTCTACTAAGTTCCCTGGACAGCTTGTCTCATGCCCATTGTGATCTGTTCACAACTGCTACCACGATGAAAAGCAGGACCTGGGTGTTACAATTCCCATCTGTGATTTCATAAGGTCTCCTTCAGCCCTTGCTAGACTACCCAAGCCAGGAAGGCTTAGGGATTTTGTTCCTAAGAGCTACCTTTGAGGTACCTCTATGCTCAGAGAGACACAGAGATGCCCATAAAACACAGGTAGTAACCAAATTTGTTATTACAGTCAACACTTCATCTGGAAAGGAGGAAGCAGATGCATGAGGGATACACCTCAGGAACAAGCCTTGGGCATCTAGATTTGCCCACCACCATCCTAAGTACCATGAGACCCTGCCATAAGGCATCCCAGAGGGATGCACCACACATCTCCTGGAAAGGAGTCCTCACACAAGTTATTTCAAGGCTAGATCTCCAGCCACATCATGTTCACCCCATCCAGCACCTACCTCTATGGATTACAGACAGTTTGCTGTGCAGATGCTCCAGAGCTCGTACAATCTGGGGACAAACAGAGCAATAAAGCACCCATTAGTCACACACAGCACCAGTCTTCCACTGCAAGCAACTACCCAATTCCCCGTGCCATGGGCCTCAATAGAGACCTTCCAACAGGCTCAGGGGTTGCTCAAACCCACGTAAGAAGCCAAGAGGCACTCACAGACACAGCCATTTTCCCCAAAATGTCTTCAGGGATCGTTTTCTTCTTCTCCAGTACTTTCTTGTAGAACTTATCAAGGGAGGTGTCCATGAGCTCCATGCAGATCCACACGTCACCCTGCGGATCGGGAGAAAGCAGCTGAGAATTCCCTAGAAATCCCCAGGAGCTAGAAGGAACAGTGGGGATGGATGGACAAATGGCCACTGCCCCTTCCACACAGGGCAAACCACGGTCCCTGCCATGCTGCTCCTGTTGGCCACAGCACCAGCACACAGGCTCTGCACTAAATAGCAATGGGCAAAGATGCCCTGGTACCACCAAAACTGCCTGTAATGGCATCTCTTTGACGGTCTACCCCATGGACAACACTCCTGGGACATCTTCCCCAACACCATGGGGCCATGAACAATACTCTTGGGCACCTGCCACAGAGGCAAGGAACAGGACCTGGTCAATGCTGCCTGAAGGAGGCAAGCCTTTGGCCTTGAAGTCATGGCAGCATCTCAGTAGGGCTGAAGGAGGTTTTGGACAGTTCAGTGCCTTCAGCACAACTGCACAGCCCTGAGCCATCCACCAGCTCAGTACCTCACGGAAGAGGGCTCCATAGAAGGTGACGGTGTAGAAGCAGTCAACTGTCCTCATGGAGATGTCCAAGTCCATCAATAACCTCTTCTGCTCCTGAGTGTTTACAGTTGCTCGAATCCTCTGAGGCAAATAGGAAAGAAGAGGGGGTTTATATTTATATATGGGATAACACCATTATCCTTCAGTCTGACCCAGAGGACCTGAGGTTCCGAGGCCAAGGCAAGCTTATTTTGCAGCCAGTAGCACCCAGGAGATGCTCAGATTCTTCCAGACAGCACCTTAATGAGTGGCAAACCCTTGGCAAGCTCTGCAGTGGATGCAGGATCCAGCCAGCAGCCGGGACAGGCACCGACACCCACACTTTGCACTATCTGCAGGCACCAAGCCTGGATTTCTAAGCACAGACCCTTCAACAACCAAACCACACCAGGAACGCTGGTAGCTGACAAACAAGCCTATCCCCATTTTGTAGTGACCAGTGGAGCTCAGCAGAGTCTCCCCACTCCCTTGGAGCTGCACATGGTGATCTCCAAGCAGCTCCCCTCACCTTCACAGCCATGATGGTGCCGCTCTGCGTGTGCCGCACCTTCTCCACCACACCATAGGCGCCACGGCCCAGCTCTGAAATTGCCACCAGGTCATCGGCTTCCACCTCAAAGTTCTTTAGGGATAAAGACAACAACATGTCAGATATGAGCACATTTATCAACAAGGACATCAGCAGAGGTGCAACACTTGCAGCTCGCTAAGGCAGAGCACTTCCAAACGACAGCACCTACAGGGCTACACCAGCTCCTATACGTACCAGAGGCACCACACTGAGAGAAGATGGGTCCAAACCCTCTCACCTTATACTCACCAGGGCTCATTTAATCCCCCTTTGCAGCTAGAGATCAGGACCTTCCAGCCTTTAAGCCACTGAAAAGGCCACCAAAGGTTGGTGCCTCTCTGCCTGCTCAGGATTACCCACACAAGGGTACGTCTGCAGTTGCTAAACTACTTGGAGGGATTCAACAGCTCCTGTGCCAACATGGGCAGCAGTCAGGAGCCTCTGCCACAGCTCAAAAGCCCTGTGTACAAACCAGGATCCCCCACTTCACCCCACATCCCAAGAGATCATGGCTCACCCCCCTGTGCATCTAATAACACTTCTGCCTGTGGAAAGCCTCTCTTAGACAGGATGGTGTATGCAGCAACCCAGCAACTCAATCCTAATCGTTGCGGTGTTCAAACGGGTTTTACCCCCATCAGAAAGGTAAAACACGAGTTAACACCAATGAAGGAGCTCAGGCAAGTTCAACTGCCTTGTTTCAAGCTGGAAAAAGCCCATTGCCAGAGCTGACACAAGCAAGTGCCCCACACAGCAGGGAGCCAGCAGGCTCCTGAGCAAGCTTCCCTAAAGATGTGTTACCCTGCAATTGCCTGTCCTGCTGGGCAGGGCACAGACTGTGTGAGTGAGACATGGGCTATTTTTGGACGCTGTGTTCATCGACTCCTAATAAGTCACAGACCTTCTTTTAGCCTGGCTTTATCCAGCCTCCAGTTTTCCTCCGGTCTCAGGGAAACACAAATAATACCAGGATGCCAAAGTGCCCCCGTAGCCACAAAGGCAGCGAGGGTGGGAAACATGCACAGCACAGCGCCGGATACTCGGCCTGTGAGCTACGCCCAGAGCAGGGAGGAAACAGCCTTTGGTGTTAAGGAGCCAAGCTGGAGATGTGGCTGTTGGGCTCCCGGCCAGTGAGTCCCCTCAGTGCTGGCCATGGTGACCAGCTCCCCTGGACCTTCCTGCCAGCCCTGGCTCCAGTTATTCCAGCCAGATGTGGTGGGCAGGCAGCTGAGGCAGGGAGCAAGGGAGAGCTGTGCTTGAGCTCAGCACTGAGCTATGTGCTACCCAGCACAGGAAGGTGCCAGCCCTTTCCTGGGCAGGACAGTAGATCCTGAGATGAGGAGAGCAGGGCTGAAGGGGGACATGTCCGACCCATCAGGCAGAGGAGCAGTGCCAGCTCACAGCTCCTGCAGGGGCCTCCAGGAAGGATCTGGTGGTGCTTTTCAGGACACGTGTTCTGCAGTTGTTCCAGGTTATTGTTTTCCCTAGCATTTTCCCTAAGGCTTCCCCAGAAGCTGGCAGTTCCCAGCACACTCCAGGAACCAGCACTGCCCTGCCCAGCAACAAGAGGTGATGCACAGACAGAGCCAGTGCCCCCCTCCACTGGGAATGGATGCAGGGCATCACCTGCATGGATCTGATGGACCCATCCACCCCATAGCCTACAGCTGGCCTTCTGCTCAAGCCCTCTTCCTCTGTGTCACTCCAAAACACCTAGGCCAGACTCCTGAAAACACTGGAGCAGGGAAGGAAGTGACCCTAGGGAGATTTCCCCAAGCTACAGCTCTCTGCCCATGCACACACCATGCTCAGCCTGCTACAGACAGCTTATCTCCCTGGGCTATTGATACACACACAACACAATGGCCAGAAAATGGCACAGGCAGTAGGATTGTTCCCTGGACGCAGCCAAAGCTTCCTTTCCTCTCCCTTAACCCTAAAACCTTGCACTGAAGCCGAGGGGCCCAGATCCCACCAGCCTGGAAGCAGCTAGCTGTAGGGCTGATCCAATGCATGGTATTTTTAGCTCAATTACAGACAGGCTTCTGCAGTCCTAGGAGAGCCCATAACAAGAGCATGAAATAAAAGAGAGACAGTGGCTATTTCTAGCAGTGGTTTTCACCAGGTCACTAGGAAAGGCTATGGAGAGCTGGAGAGAAGCTTTATGCCCAGCTTCTCCTGGGCTATGGGCAGTAGCAGCCCTGTGGGTATGCAGGACAAAGGGGGCTTTGAGCCAGAGCATGTGCTGAGGCCACACTGATTTAGGGCAGATGGGCTGGGTCCATCCAACCACTGTTATCTCCCACTATAGACAGAACAGCACACCTAGCATTTAATGTCACCCATCTGCCTTGCACAGATCTGCTCAGAGACAAGCCAGCCTGCAGACATGCTCAGTTCCTCAACCATCACTGCTCTCCATACACACAGAAACCCCACTGCACAGGGGAAAGATCCTGCTGTGGGATGTCTCATCCCTTCAAGGATGCACCCTGCAAGGTTGCACCAGGAGGGCACCATCCTTCTCCTGGGGTGCTCTGAAATCCCAGGATGTGACCTGATGGGTTGTCAGGCATGATCCATAAAACTCTGCATGCGTGGGGCAAACAAAATTGGAAGCAAGCAAAAAAGAAACCACATCGACACGTACTTTATCTCCGATGGTAATGAATGCTCTGGAGTCCAAGTTCCTCGGGGGCCTGTAAGAAAAGAGACAGAGTCAGGAGCAAGCCCAGCTTCATCAACCCTCTTGGCCAGAGCCAGGTTTCAAGCTCCTTTGAGCACTTTCAGCCACTGCTTTCCACCATCCTCTGCTGTCCTGGCTTCAAACCAGTACCCTCCAAACACTCACAAATGCTTTAATCATGCCAGTAACACCTCAACCCACACCCACAATCACTCACAAGCAGTAAGAACCCCAAAGCCTCAGCTAGGTGAGACATGCATCAAACCAACAGGCTGTGAAACTACCCCTGCTCAGGAGATGAGCCTGAGGAACCAAGACCCACAGGATGAGAGGTTTCTGTGGCAGAGCAGCCAAACTGTCATGTTTTGACAGGCAGGTGTTGTAACAGGACAGCCACGTAGCCCGAAACACACGCCGGGGGAACAACAGGTAATTCCTCACCCCTGAGTCATTTGTGTACACTCGGAGGCCTGTTTCAGGCAGAGCAAGCAGCACTTCAGTGTCACACTTAGCACCACACAGGCGAAAGTCTTCCTTTACGGCTTTTTTCCTCATCTCTGCCCACTTCCCATTATGGGCAGCTTGGTACTTTTAGAGCCAACACAAGCATTTTGTCCCTTGTGCTTCGCTTCTCTGCACTCCCCATCCCCTGGGACCTTCTAAGAGTGGAAATTGCCCAACTGGTTTTGCCTCTCAATTCCCATCAGAGCAACACAGCAACCTCCAGCTTTGAGGAAGTACTTGAGGCTCACAGCAAAAGCCTTGCACTGTGCAAATATTTGCACTGCAGCTTGAAAAGCACAGAGAAAAGGAGTTGGGGATAACTTACACCAGCCTTGGGCACGCAAGCACACCACAAACTCCAGCATGAGGCCTTCTCCAGGGGGAATTCAAACACAAACAGGACCAGCAACAGATGCAGCCGTGCTGGAAGGAGGTGGCTGTTGCATGCTACGCTCTGCAGCGTTAACAGGGGACTTCCCCTGGTTGCTCCTCCAACAGATCTGTCCTATCTACCTGGGGTTTTAGGTAGTGGTATTTCCCCTTGGGGGATTTCACTGCTCTCCTGGTGCTGAGTGAGTCTCTACTACGGGTTTCTGGAGCAAACGAGGCTCAGCAGTGAAGATGCAGCCCAAGGTGTTTTCAAAGAGCACAGTGAAAGAGGAATTGCAGCCATCTACTCTTTGTCAAACCAAGCACCACTACCCTGGGCTCTCCCCAAACAACTCTAACTAGCTCTGATGTATGGCTCAGTGGAAGGATGCTGTGCCATGCAGGGCATCCTCCCAGCCCACACCCCCTGCTCCTGCCACGGTCCAGCTGCCACCACTTCATCTTTTCCCCTGCACTAAAAACCTTCCCTTCTCTTTCCCTCAGGCAGATTTGCCCTCTCCAGCACGTCTTTGCCACTTTGGCATCAACACAACCATGGCAAAAAGACTGAAGAGAGTCTCCCAGCTTTTGACTTCCAGCCACTTCAAACCAGACACCAGGAGACACACACGTTGCACAGGTGTATGCACACACGTGTATACATGTGTAATTCCTTCTCATCACCTGCTTAAGCTTAAGAGAAGAGAGTTAACTGCTGATCTTGTGAAGGCTTCACAGACCACTGCCCTTGAGACAGCGCTGAACCCAGCTCTGGAGAACCACTTTGAGCAGCAGAGACACTTACGTTGTGTTGGCAACAGGCTGTTTGATGGGGGGACATGTTATCCTCAGTTCCCCTTTCTTCCTGCTTTTCACTGGAAGAGAAGACACACACGTGAGCAATCGGCTTTTTTACTTCCCTTCCTTCAAGCTTTTTACTCCTTACCCTTCATGGCCATCAATAGTCCCCTCTCTTGGGGGGGTTTAATTGCTGATGTTCAGGAGATGGGTTAAAGCTGTGATTTCTGCTGGGCACTTACCCGGTTTGTGTGGCTCCAATCCTTTGGAATCTGAAAGAGAGAGAAAGAGACACCAGGTCAGCTTCCATGCTCCGGATAAGCCGGGTACCACCTCCAAATCCCTTAGGGGCCCGTGCATGGCCCAGGGGAGCCCTTCCAGCCACGCTGCAGGCAGAGGGAGGCAGACGGTGCCGGAGCCCAGCCAAGCCTGGCCCGATCCCCATTTCTCCAGCCACAAGAGGTCCCCATGCCATTAGTGATCCACAGGGCTCCCGAAAACACTCCCTGTCCAGCTCCTCCTTGCCCCACGGGCCATCAGCACCCACCGAGGTTTTCTTGTGAAGAGCCAGACCCATTCTGCAGTATGGGTTAGAACCGGCACAGGTTACATCCATCAGACCTCAAGCTAAACCAAAGAGTTAGTCCCAGTAGGACAGCAAACACCCCCCCATCTAACAAAGGGGAACCAGGACGAAAC